GGCCTGCTTACCACTATAACAGAGTGATTTAAAAAGGTTAGACAGTAATTCCCGTCCCTTGTAAAGATTCGCGATTTACTGACGTCATCAAATTTTTGGTGGGGACGACAGACAGACGAATCACCAACAGACAGATAGACAACACGCGATGGACAACGGAAACGGAAGACCCACTTTTGCATATGCTACAAACAGTGATTCTACTGTTTGTTTTTAAGAATGCCGAGCGTATTTGAAGAAAATACCATTTGAATAATAATAGATAATACGTTTTAAGTAAGACGATGAGTCAGCGAGTTCGAATCTCACGCGAGAAAAATTTTGACGGCTGGTTCTTGGAACGATGAAAAGAGTAAGCGGTGAGAGTATTTTTCGAAATGTAGTATTATGTGAGCAATTTGGCTAAAGAATCGATTAGCGGAGATTCCAAGGAGGTTAAGAGCGCTCACGGTGCGAAGGGCGACGTGCTCAAGAGTCGCCGTCCTATTCTCGGGTATCGTAAAGATAAGCATCACAATGAGTGTTATACGAGATCTTTTTATATAAAATATAAGGGCATCATGTTGCAATTGGACAATCTGCATAAATCTATTGTTAACCGCAGGAGGGACGTAGTGGAAAAGACGAGGTACAAACATTTGCCCTGTACGAGGGGAGCTGGTCGACAGATATCGGGGATTAATGCGTGCCAATTATAGACACAATTCCAATGTAATGCGGCAAGTGAAATGCATAAATCTTTTTCTTTATTTCGAGGCAACGGGCTATTTGGTGTTTATTTTTTCCCGGAGTAATGGCTTTCAATTTCTACGAAATATGTTGCGCAAGTTGTCATCCGCGTTTTGGAATTTATTGCGCGGAGAGGTGTTAGTGGCCAGCGTCGGGAAAAGACATAAATGTAATCTTATAGTGATAAGATTTTATAGTCCCAATTGTCGACGGCTGTAGAAGGCATAAAACTACTTTGTATACAAAATTTTCACATTAGCCACTTGTATCAACGCCAAGTAATATACGACTCGTGTTTAGAAAATTTACGACGGGTGTACACCGCGGTTTTATTTAGTTTCCAAAGCAAAATTACTTGCTTGGCAGTCGTCGTAAATATATGCATGTCGGAAAAGAGGGAAATTCGATAAAAATCTTTCCCACGTTGTCGGAAAGGAGATGGATCGATAAATTAAAGAAGGTTAATATCGCGGTAATGAGAGGAAATAGGCGGCTTCGTTAAAGTCTGTACCCAATTATCAGACGTATCAACAACAATATTCTGAGATAAAGCCCGAAATGATGGATTATCATGTCTTCGATCCGGTCGATCGACAAAAATGTAATGAGGAGCTAAATAATTTTGGCGTTGTAGTGAGGTACCCGGAGTGTGTGGACCACGACAGTGAAAAGGCGTATCGCCGAATTCACGACGACTAGCACTGGCATTGTAGTCGAGCTATTAGCAAGGATTTATAGCAATCGTAACATAGTCGTCTATCGTCCACCGTCTAGGCCAAGATCTAACATGTGACTGGAGGACCGGAAATCCGACAAATTAGAGAGCCACCTCTAATTCTGGTCCGTGCGATAAGTGGGACAGCATTTTGATATTAGCCCGGCAACGACAATATCCCATCCCCCCGACGCAATATGTTACACGTGACTAATATCGGGACTTTTTAGGGAGCTTTCCCTTTTCAAATTCGCATAACGCAAGACCACGAAGGGGCGTCCGACTTACTAATTCGACAACGCGAATTGTTGCGTTTATGTCGTTCAAAGGGCATTTAAAAAAGACACGTTTACTAGATGACTTTTTACCTTTGAGGCCAAAAGGTCACCGGGGGTTAATTCACGGGATTTATGGCCCAAAAGGGACAATTTATCTGTTAATATACTAAAATATAACCTTTCCATAGGTCAAACGCTATTTTCCGAACACGGTTTACGACCTAAACTTTAACTTCACTTTCTTATCAAACATGGGATTATCACGCGGTATGCTCAACCTAACTATCCGCATTATCTTAATAACCGGAAAAAAACATAACGAGATCACTTTGCCAGCATTCCGAACTCGATTTAATGCACGGATTCCTCCGAATCGGAGATCAGATCTCTAATATCGAATTATTGGGATTATCCATGTCAGCACTAAGCGATTAGACCCCGGAATCTATACCACTCCATGCGTAAATTTCAAACACCGGCCTCACTTTTCCTAAATCTGTTTCAAAAACCCAGCTGGTCACTTTCTCTTAATTGCTCCGGTCCTTGCCATTCATTTTGTATTCAGATTATTGTTTGCGCTGGCTAATGCTAAGCAAGCAATTCGTTATGTATGATAAAGGGCGTCACATTCTACCAATTAACTCGCGCAAAATTAGGAATACAATATCGCCTCCATGCCCGATACACTACAAACTCACCCTTCGATAATGATTACAAGCTACAAATTCTACACAAATAGTAATCAAAACTAAAACAAAGACGATTCGTCTTACAATAGACGTACAAAGGGCTCGCCGTTTACATCGCCACAGCGACGCATAAGTTTTGTGTGTCCTGATAGTCTAGTGGTCAAAATACTCTCGCGGTTAACTTCGTCACAAGAACGCATATGTCGTTAGTGTTGTGTTACACAGCAGAATTATTCAATCATCACCAAAAAAGTGTTGATTGCATAACGAACGAAAAATTTGGCGACATGTACTGGGTTCGCTGCAAAGTCTGGAGCAATTTTTCTCATCATCTCCGCTACCTGCGCATGCAAACTACAACTACGGACCTTGTAATGAAGGTTTTGAAGCAAACTGTAGACATTTAAATAGCAATGAACCAGTTTAAAGCAAAAAAAAAAAATTAAAGTGTGGTTACATCACAGTTATTAAAGAAAAATTTGGGTGTGGAGAAATTTGCTGCACGCGAATGATACCAAGTGCATTTTCTGCGAACTACAATTCAATAAATGTGTTTGTTATTATAATTCGAACGGATGTTTGACGACGTCCTTTGTGCGACCAAGTGTACTAGAATTGATGATGATCCGGATTCGGCACGTTTGTAATGTAGGCGTCCCGTAAGTGAAGTTAGAATTGATTAATCAAAATTTCGCGATTGATATAAATAATCGAGAGGCAAAAAGTGGAATGAAATATTAACCGTCAGAATTAGTTCCTGGTTGTAAAAACAATCCGAGATGTGAGAAACATGTGGTAAGAGCTTGAACACGACCCGTCCCTACAATATTTGCTTTGATCTACCGCTCCTCGAGTTACGCGCGTTTTAACATTGATTTATTTTTTCCACGTAGTAATTACATAGTTATGGATTTGAAGATTGTCGGTTTTGCTTTCGGCCGAGCGGAAAAGTGGAGTGCGAAAAAGCTCCATGGGCGATTGATGATGTCCGCGTTAATCTGCTAATGTGGCCATAAAGGCCGGCAGCATCCCCGCATATTTATTAAAACGTAAAAATATCGTAAAACTCATCGATCTGAGATAGCAGTGAGTTATTCGTGTCGGCACCCCATCCGTGGGGCGACAAGACCGGTGTTTAGTTATTCAGCGGCGGCGTGTATATAATTTAAATTGAAATCTTATCTGTAGGGCACGACCTTTGGCTGTTTTGGGCCGGCGGGCGGCCACTAATCTCCTCCAGCAATGGGCTAAACTCGGAAGCGCAGTCGGATTTGGCGCGTCGTGGGTGCACGTGGACCACCAAAATGGCGAAGGGTTACCAGACAAAGGGCACACTTTTCTGTGCCCGTAAAAGCCGGCGCCCATGGACTCGAGTATGCAGCGGGGAGTGCATTCGCGGCTTGTGGCTCATGGACTCTGATGGCCCCAGGCCTCGGGCGTACCAGCGAGTCACGACCTTTCGTAACCTAACCTGCTTACCAACTTCACACACGAGAAGTCCTGCTCACATAGTACAACATTGGTCTTTGCCGTTCTCCGCCCGGACTTGTCCAAAATAAGGACCTTACTGCCGGTTTATCGGCGCGCAGCGGCGACAAGGTAACTGTAAAAGCGATTCGCTTACCTTGATGGCCCTCGAACGAGCAAGACGGTGCCACGGCTAAAATATGAGCCTTTTTTGAATATTAAAAAGTGCCTCTGTTCTGTTATACGTCGTCTGTTACGATCCTGGCTGCGGAAAACCATTGACCACGATGGAATAGGTCAAAGTTGACGCAGGTGTTCGTCTAATACCGGTGCGCAATTCTAGATGCTTGTTCTCGTTTTGCTTTTTACAACGCATTGTCTATTTGGGAAAATCGAGAAAAACACGAGCTAATTATGCATTCTAACTGATGCAAGGATAGATCGTTGTCGGCGAATTTAAATACCTCCATGTGTGACGATTCAAAGACGAGAGCCATATGATAGTGCGGAAGCTGATGATCGTCTTAAACAAACCCATTAACACTTACTTTGTTACTTATATTGCGCGTTTCTAATTATTATTCTTGAAACTATTAACAACGACCATATGATGACTCTAATTGCGGCTATTACGTCCATTATACTAATATTTTCAAACTTAATTAACCCCAACACGTTCGTCCTTTTTTTTTTTTGAACAACTCGAGTGGCTGGTGAGCAAAACTGCTTCGATTACTCCTAGTTAACGCGCCTTTTGTCTTAAACCTTGCAGGGACTTTTCTGTCGCCTCGTCCGGTTTTATTGATCGTCTGTCTGGGTGCACTATTCATAATTAATTATACAAACTTATCTCGGTTTTGAAGTGGCGATAGCCTATATTGCGGAATACAAGAACAGCAATTGTGTGAAAGGTAACGAAAAGGGCTCGACTGAAGGGGTAACGCAGGAAGAACTGATAATGCAAGAGTCCACAATGGTGACCACGTCAGAGACAATTTTAACAATGCATTGTTTATCAAAGCTGTTGCAACTATCACACACTACATCTCTGTCGGGCGCGAAACCCGAAACAATACACTTTATATATAATGTTGTAAATTTCTAATTAAAACTACCACTCACCCGTCGTAAAAAGGACTATGGCTTTAAGGCATGAATATTCTGCTGAATCGACGTGAAGGGCTTTTAATTTTTCTACTTGTTCCTGTGGAAGAAAATTAATAGTAGTAACACAATCGTCGCAAATCCATACTGTACCTGAAATATCCTAATGTGATCCATAAATTGGACAACCCGATCTGCACACATTGGCGATGCGTGGAGACCAGCTGCTGCTATCAGTGGCGCCACGTGGAGTGGCATCGAACACTGACTAGCATTTAAAACAAATAATTCAGACCACACTAGCCGAAGAAGTGCAACCTGTAACACGAAACCGATCAGAACCGACGAGGTTTCTACTTTTCGCAAATACCTGATCTGTAACCTGCAGGTCGGGAAAAAAGGGGATGTTCCTGGCCCATTCCACCGCCGAAAACAGGAGTCTTGCTGCCAACTCGCAGATATTGTCTATGCCCATGATGTTGTTGGCTTGTATGCACTGCCCGTATCGGCTGGTGGGATAAGGTTCCGCCCTCAGTAACAAGGATATGTAACTACTCAGGTAAGTGTGGTTACTGAGAGATGACGTTACGGAATCTGTGGAATTAAGGAATTGATTTGATAAACCTGGAAGAGCTGGCTGAGACGGGGGCACTCGACCTCGCTGGACGGCTGCAAAAATTCCAAACCCATCAGGGATGTTTTAAAGCGGAAACATAATCTAATCATACGACAGCTGTGTGATTGTGTTTAGCATTTTTACGGGTAGACAAATCACTGGTTATGGCTAAAGTTTCAGATGTGTTTCACTTGAATTAATTTATTCTACATTTAACAATAATCTTTGACCTTGTCTAACCTGCGGGAGGAAGTAAACAAGACTATGAATCGTAAGAAAAGCCGCCAACTTTCCCCGACAGGATGCCAAGACGGTTTTGTTGGCCCCAAACCAATTTTATTCAATTTAGGCATTTGTCAGCGGCATAAATTAAAAGTATCCAACTTGCGTGGATTTAGTTTTGGCTGCACGATTTCAGACCTTGAGGTTTAGGTGCTTTCTGGAAAACATTAAACTGGTTTCTAAATTGGCTGAGTTTTTCTTGTTCTTTGTTATTATCTTTCAAATCGAGAGTTTTAGACAAACGCAACATTTTTATTTCGTTCATGCAAACAAAATTATATAGTTCTGGAATTTTAAGCAACCTTTTACTACATTTTCAACCACAAACAGAATATGTAAAGAACTACACAGAACAATTATTAAAATGGAAATTTCAAATTTTAAATATTTATAACTTTCGAATTGTAACTTCAAACTTCGTACTTTAGGTTTAAAAATAACCGGAATTATGTACCAAGTTGTTGAAATTTCGGTATTAAAAAATTCATTTTCCACTTCTGAAAGTGAAAGCTTTGACATTTAAGTCTGTGTGCTTTGAGACGTGGAAAATGAAGCTATGAGACTGAAACGATGAAGTTTTATTTACGATTGTCACCACTCTTATTTGACTGACAAAAAGATGGATTATTCATAAATACGTTGTAGATTCGTTTTAATGTTGAAGCCTGACACACCGAAAAGCTTGAGTTTTTAATCAAAAAGCTTCGGGACTTAAAAGCTGGATTCGTGCCTGAGTGGAGGCAACACATTTCGGTGTAAAAATTTAGAGCTTCGGTTTTTAATCTTGAAATCTGGAGTTTTCAGCGTTACAAAATTAGAGCTTTGAACCTAGAAACTTTGAAATTTAAGTTCTGAAAGCTAAGAACATTGGCGGTATGGAAAGAAGCTTTGAGAACAAAAAGTTTATTTTTCAGATTTAGTGACAAGGCAAAGAAAGTGTATGTGATGCAAATTATAGTTCTAAAAACATTGGAGCTTTCAAAACACTAACTATAGAGTTTTAAGTTCTAAACCACAAAGCTTCGAGATTTGCGAAATGTAAAAATGTTACACTTTCATTTTAGCACAGATTTAGAATTGAGCTTAAATTTTTGAAGTATTTAAAATCTGGAGTCTCAGTCATATCTCGTTGCACTAGTACCTGGAGTGCCTTAATCCCTCGCCTTAACTCTGGTCCAATCTGATAATTGCAAACTTTGCATAAATTTTAGCTCTCCTTTTTTATTTACATTCCAATTTTAAAATGCATCAAATAAAAACAAAGGTGAAACGTGACGTGCAATAAATAGAAAAAAAGGTCACTGCAAAAATAAAACATTTTTTTTTAAATTCGCAACTTTCTCCGGCAGATCCATCTGGAGAACGTTTTTTTTTTTGGCAGCGTGCTGGCGCGCCCCGAGCCTCGATTATTGTCAATCGATTAATCAATAATTTACGGCGTAATTAATTAATCGCTTGATCGATTAGTGCGACGCTTTGTTGGGTGATTAATCGAGCGCTCAGTCCGATTATACAAGTAGTCGAGGTGATATCGACACACATAATCGATCGGAAAAACATGAACAAGAAGTGACTAATCCTTGTTAAGACAACACGATTGTCAAGCCCGCTCTCCGAGAGCGATTAATAAAACTTTGATACTGATAAAGGTTTTTCGGGTAAGCTGTCAAAGTTAATTTGCAAAGAAGAAGACATGAAAACAAATTGAAAAACAGGTTCTCGCTGCAAATTATATATGTCTAGTTGTTTGGAATGCAGTTTTTTTTATTTTGACACACTTCAAGCCACATTAAGGATGACTTTAGTTTGATTCATCAATGCTTTTACGCTGGAAATTTGTACTTCACACCTTTTGACGCACCGAAACCGAGAGGATCTTAATCGGGGGGGAATAAAGGCGAAGTTGGAGCGTTGTCGTAACAGATACGACCTAAAGGCAGCATTATATGGGCGATCCTTTCAAGCGAAATTCACCTTGTCTTCTTTATAATGCGCCACACCGTTGACGATCGCGACTAATTTAAGAACTTTGACAATGGGGTTGCGAAACGTGACGTCAGTTGGGACCAGTGAGCTGCTTTGATGGTGAACGTAAAGACGTAGGAACTGAATGACTAATAGCACGAACAAAATTGCCACTCAGTTGTATATATTAATTTAAGTGTCGTATGCGCATGCTCGGTAGAGAAATCTCGTACCGGCATAATTATAGTTTACATCAGTGTTCCAAAATTTCCAATCATCGAGCAGTTGCTTTATCATTGTAAATACATGGCAGTCATCCCATGGAGTGTTTTTATTGATAATAATCAGCTCTCTCTCGACCAAAACTTCTGAGGTCAAACTGATGTTTTCAAGGATACGCTTTTTGCCACAGCTACGCTTCTCATTTATAACTTTTTTTCCATTTTCGTCACAATACAATCAAATTTTATATGACAAAATAAATTTTGAGTATGTACTAGCACGTGATTGATTTCAAGTGCCAAAAAGAAAAACACACAATGAAAATACCACTGATTTTAAAAAACTCTGTTGTAGAAAAAAATTTGTGTGTAGAAAGTCGAGTTTGGCTAGTTGTTATGGCAGGTGTAAATAATCGACTTGATTGCATATAAGATGGGCGAGCCCGAGTCGCAAAGGTTATATCAACGCAATCGGTACTTAAAAATCGAGAGAAGTATCGGAGGCGATGGGCAGGTATAAGTCTAGATAGTGGTTCTTGGTCGATATCAAAGTCCATCAGCATCTCAAGAACCATAACGTATAACGAATAACACACCATTAATCAAGCTCCACGGCTGTCTAAGATCATTTATATAAACCGTGACGTTTGAATTAACATTGATTGCTGTTCAACTTTTTCAAATTTTTTATGACGTGTACATTATTGTATTGGCTATTAATAGCCACAAATGTCACAAATTCACAAATAAACATGACTGACATGTGTTGGCCGACACCGGCCCAGACGTGCTATTAAAAACTCTCCCTCCGCTGACCACGCGTCTAGAATACCCCACATTTTTATGGTTTTACTTTCGACTAGCAAGATTCTAATTCCGTGCCTTCTAGCGTTTTGATTCGGAGAATTCGAAAATGCAGGTTTACACTTTCAATATGCGTTTGTTGCGAGGATCCCCAAAAAGTGTTTATTCGTTACCTCCAAAAAATTGATGACGTCATGTTAAATTTTATTACGGAAAACTTACTTAAAATACGTGTTTAACTGCAGTTTAACAATCCATGCATATTTTTATTTTAATTAAATTCGCAAAATCAAACTTATCGGGGAAACTGTATCCATTTTCTCCTTTAAATCAGTTGGAGTGCGCAATTCGTAAACGTCATGAACACCAATCAGCACGTATCGGACGCAAAATGCGCAGTCGTCGTTTGCGCAATAGGTGCATGCGCAACATCAATACGACAGTGACAGGTAACTTTTTTAAAAAGACGGCTTATTGTAATCAACTGTAGTTTTTTCTATGTATAAAATATATAAATATATGTTATTAGTGACAATTCTTTATGCATTTTTTGGCACTTTTATTTCTTTTCCCAAAAGTATATCGTTTTTTGTGATTCAGTAATCTACTTCTGATTTATTTAATACATCCCTTTTGTTAAATTGATGACGTCATCGTACAGAACAGGTACTGTTCGTTTATTTTTTGAAATTCCTCAAAGTGACCTACAAAAATTGTCTGTGTAAAGCAGTTAAATATCTCAGAAACTGGTTATCTGATTTCCCTGAAATTCCGGGAACACGTTGACGTCATGATGAATGTTGCGTTGCACCTATCGAAAAGTAGATGACGTCATTTGCAAAAGTTTTCAATTCCACTTTCTTTGTGAGGAAGTATTCAGGCGGTACTTTTCTCGTTGTCCGTTGTTTTAAAAAATGAGTAGTGGTACTGCAAGGGCGAGGGTGGTTCTGTGTGAATAAGTTTCGAGATTTTTTGATCGTACGCGAGTACGTATAGTAGAGTACCATCGCCGTTCGGTGTTGGTCTCTGGTCGCTGCTCGCTCGGTAAGGCTACAGGGTCAGGGTCAGGTAAGGTCATTTCCCACGATAACCGCATTCAGCATAGCAACCTAAGACTTCAGAATCAGAATTATAATCCAACTTCCACGCAAAAACATTTTCACACTTTTGGGAGCAAAATTCGTGCGAGTACTGGGCGCGTTCAAAGGTTAACAGGTCAACTGATTCACTCGGAACTAGCTCATGGTGCCTAAATATCTCTACCATAAACGTTAAATAGACAAAAGAACGCCAAAGGCATCCCGATGAGACCCAGCAATGCGCTCGCTCACGATATATCAATGGGATCTGGAATACTCGACACGTGCTTCGAATTCTTCAATATCCGCGATTCATTCCAATGGCCGGTACTAGCGACAATTAACTATATGGAAGAATGAAGATGATGGGAACGCGCGACGGAGACGGAGCTAACGGGAAATGGGGTACTGAGAGAAAAATACGAGAGACAAATAGACGAGTGCTTTCTGTGTTTCTGTATCTGCGATTAATACAGCCTGTTTGCGGACATGTTTATTTTGAACACGTTTGTTGACGATGATTTATCGGTACTACAACGCAGTGTGCAAATTTTACATGTCGTTATATAACTACAAATGAAACTCGGAGGACTGCAATATTTTACTGAAAACTTGCGTAACTGGAAACGACAGCGTGACGGATAACCTCACTTTGAAGGCGATTTTTGACCGAGTTTCTGTCTTCAAGATGGCGCCTAAGCG